TTTAGGGGCTTAGGGTTTAGGGTCAGGGGTAAGGGGTTCAGGGTTTTTAGGGTTTAAAGGGTTTAGGGTTACATAGGGGTTTGGTTTAAGGTTTATAGAAACTAGTTTAGGGTTTGGGCTGCTAGAAGTTTTGGGGTGTAGGGTTGTTAAGGAAGGCTACGAAGTTTCTATGAATCATTCTGTACAGGGTGCGATGAGGGCTCTCTAGGACTCTGGGGAGATGTTGTGGTTCAAGGTGTCAGGTTGTTCTTGGTTTGAGGGCGCCTTGGGTTCAGAGCTTAGGGTTCAGAGCTTAGGGCTCAAGGCTTGAGGGTGTAGAGTTTAGGTGTTAGCTTTGGCCCCCAGCATCAAACGCAACCATCTAAGCAAGGGCCAAATTGAGGTCTTTTCGGGATCACAAATTCCTAAAACCCTAAACTTCTAAGCCCTAAACCCTTAAACCCTGAAGCCCTAAACCCTAAACTTCCAAACCCTCAACCCCTAAACCAAAACCCTCAACTTCCAAACCCTAAACCATCAACTTCTCAACCCTAAGCCCCCGAAACAGCAAAACCCCAAACCTAAACTTCTAAACCCTGAAACCTCAAAGCCCCCAAAACCTTAAAAAAATAAAACCCTAGAACCGTAAACCCCTAAGCCCCTAAAACACAAGACAGCAAGGCTCTAGACTTCTAAAGGCTAGCCTTGGAGGCGCCGTTCTGCAAGCAAAGCTCTACCTGCAAGGCTCTCGGGCCGGCCCTCGCGACCCGCGCTTTGGGGCTTGGGGTTTTAGGGTTTGGGGTTTAGAGGTTCGGGGTTTAAGGGTCTAGGGGCTGAGGGATTTTGGGGGTTTAGGCGGTTTAGGCGGTTTAGGGGTTTGGGGTGTAGTGTTTGCAAGTCTCCCCCCGAAACCACGACGAGGGTGCTCGCGGCTGGGGCCCTCGGGTCGGGGGATTTCGAGATTTCGGAATTGTTAGGCGCTGGTTTTGGGGGAGGGTGGGGGTCCAGGCTCAGGGACAGCCGGGCCCACATTCATGTGAACAGCCTCATGCACAGACTCTAGAATGCATCCCTTCAGGCCTTTTAGGCTTCAGGGCTTTTCGGCATGATTTACATACCAAGGCATCTGACACAAAATGCCCCTACAGCCCGAAGTTGTGCTCAGACGCCAGCGGCGTCCAGGGGCCACAACCGATCTCCTCCCCCGCAGCTCTGGGGCTTGGACTAGCTGAAAGTTAAAGCTCAAGCCTCAACGACCCGAAGTAAAAGCCTTAGGGTTCAAGTGAAAAAGGATGCTTACAACATGGATCTCACTGTTTTAAGGTTTTGTATGAGGGCCGAAGCTACAGCACAGGCGTTCCCTTGTTCTGTGGCGGAGAGGTGCAGGACGTGGGGACTTTTGCGTCGGAAGTGCTGTCGCTAAGAGGTACGAGATCTTGGCCCAAGAAAGAGGTCCGAGCAATTCGTGATCTTATATCTTTCAAATCTAATAAATTGCCTAGGCACGTAGGGGTCGGGGGAGCCCCGGTTTCAGGACTTAGGAGGTCCTGGGGCGATTTGGACGACCTCGACCATTGGCATTACAGCGATGTAGCCTCCGGTGACGTTTCCTCGTGATTTACCTCGTGTGGCCTCCGCCTGTGCTGTTCCGCTGTCTTTCTCTCTCGCTGTCGCTCTCGCTGTCGCTTTCGAGCTCGCTCTCGCTCTCTCTCTCTCTCTCTCTCTCTCTCTCTGAACCCGGCGCCCCAACTCTCACCCAAGCCAGGCTGGCAGACCCAACACAACCCCAAGACTCCAGCCCCACAAATCTGGATGAACGCCAGACCCTTCCTTAGAGAGTCATCATTTGTCATATATGGCTCAGAAGAAGAAGCTAAGGACACGTGATGGGTACATCGGAATCGATCGAGGAACACCCCCAGGCAGGGCAGGAGTCCAGGACGCGCCCAGCTCTGAACTGCGCGATGGCATCGCGGAAGGCCTCCATCCGAGGGCGGTCGGTGGTAAGCGTGTACCTGATGGGCGGTGGTGAGAGCCCATATGACTGAAGATGTTAGGGCCGTAAGGTTTAGGCTTTCGGGCCGTTAGGACTTGGGGTTATGAGGGTTTGAGGGTTTAGGGTTGCGTAAGAGGTTTTGGTATGATTGAAAGCCAGCAATAAGGGGCTCTTGAGACAGTTGGCTTCGGAGCTCCCAACACGTTTCCTGAGAAACGATCGGTGCTCCTACGGCTGACAGGCTCGCAGCTTTGAGGTGTGTTGTGGCCTTGGGTTCGGGATTCTGAGTTTACAGGGTTCTATTCAAGGCTTGGGTTGGTGCTCAAGGGTGTGTAGGATTTACACGGGGCCTCCCACAGAAAAAAAGCGCGGGAAGCCACGAAACCGAAGATGTCAACTCTCAACCAGCTCGCAAGACACACCCTAAACCCTAAACTCTCAAATCCTCAACCCTGAACCCTCGGTGATTCCCGACGAGAACCTGGTCAAGCCCTTTGTAGTATCCTCAGCTCTAAACCTCAAGAGTTCAAAAGCCCTTCCCCAACAACGGGGTTTAGGGCTTAGGAGTTTAGGGTTTAGGGACTCTCGATCACAATCTCACGGCCACTGTGACTTAAGGTGTACTCCTTCACTCAGAGGGATCTTGGGCTCTACGCCCCACCCCCAGCACCAAATCCCAAGAGCTAAGGCTCCTCTGAGTAGGCTCTGGGGAAGGAGGTGTACTATATGCAACGACTCTTATTTCGTAAGCTTCTTAGAATGGCTGCCTTGCTGGCCCCGAAATTTAGGGGGTTCCATGTATGGAGCTGGAACCCAAAAGACCATCCTCATGATGATGTTAGGGACCTCACTCCACAATAGTAGTATATATAAACCCTAAACCCTAAACCCCTTCACCCTATAACCCTAAACCCCAAAAACCCCTAAACCCCTAAACCCCTAAACCCCCTTAACCCTAAACCCTATAACCCCTAAACCCCTATAACCCTATAATAACCCTATAACCCCAAAACTGTCTTCAAACCTCCTAGAAAAAATTAGCCCCCCCCCCCCCTTGTTGGGACGCGCGGCAGGAAGTCCGAGGAGTAGGAGCTGCGCTCGGCGGGCGTCTGCTCGGGGAGCCTTTGGAGGATCGGGAAGCCCTTGCGGGCCACCTTCCAGAAGCCTCAGAGTTTAGGGGTTTTTTTGGGTGGTTTTAGGGGGTTTTGGGGGGTTTAGGTTATAGGGTTATAGGGTTTAGGGGTTTTTGGGTTTTTGGGGGGTTTTGGGCGTTTGGGGTTTAGGGTGGAGAGGGGTTTGGGGGTTTAGGGTTTTTTGGGGTTTAGGGGGGTTTAGGGGTTTAGGGGGGTTTAAGGGGTTTGGGGTTTAAGGGGTTTGGGGCTAAGGGTTTAGGGTTAGGGTTTAGGAAGGCCTTAAGGAGTAAACCTGAAATTGCAGGGCACTCCATCCCCTGAGCTCGATGCTGTGATTTTGGTATATGTATGTATGTGTTTATATATATATATATATGGGTAGTTCTCAAAACTAGGGTCTCTTTTTGGGTCTCCTAAGTAGTACGGCACCCTTATAAAAGGACCCTAGAAGGAATCCTAGTTTAAAGAACTACCCATATATATTCCGGGGTGCTGGGGTGTGTGGTCGGTTTTCTGTTCTCAGAAAACCCTGGCAAGAGGACCCGAAGGACCACCCGGAAGCAAACCCCAAAGAAAATTTGAAAAGGGCTTCGGGTTCGGGGTTTAGGGCTTATACCCTAAACCACGAAGCCCTAAAGCCTACACGGGCTTAGGGTTTAGGGCTTTCGGATTTTAGGTCCTAGTCTTGGTCTCACGAGTTTCTTTACTCGTCTCTCACTGTCTTGGTGTTAGGGGTTCAACCCTAAACCCTCCACCTCAGGGGTGCTTTCAGGGATTCGAGGTCACAGGAGTCTTTGAGTGATCCGTGGCAGGGAAGGGAGATCATAGGGCCAGGTCGCCATAGGGATTTATAGGGTTTAGGGGTTTCGGGTGTTTAGGGGTTCAGGGGTTTCGGGGTGTTTAGGGTTTGGACGGCTCAGCACCCTAAGCTGCCATGCAGAATCAACGTCCCAAAACTGCAGTGCTCAACTCCAAATCTCCTCGATTCTCTAAACCCTGACACCCTAAACCCTCAAACCCCAAACCCTGACACCCTAAAGCCCTAAACCCTAAACCCTAAAGCTATAACCTACTAGATTCCTAGATCCCAAACCCTGAAACCCTAAAGCCCTGAAGCCCGAAACCCTAAAGCTATAACCTTGAACCCTACACCCTAAACCCTAAACCCTGAAACCCCAAACGCACTAGACCCCTAGATTCCCTTTCTGCCGAAAGCCGAGCGGCGCCGGGCGCTCGCCCTCCCGCGCGCGGCAGCCAAGGCGAGCTGCCAGGAGGAAGGCCCCATGGCTTTCGAAGGCTTTGTCCCAAATGGGCTTTGGGGGCTTTGGGGGCTTTGGGGGCTTTGGGGGTTTTGGGGGTTTTGGGGCTTTTGGGGGTTTAGGGTTAAGGGTTTAGTTTAGGCCCATGGCTTTCGAAGGGCTTTTTTGGTGAAGGGGTTTAGGGGTTTAGGGGTTTTGGGTTTTTAGGGGCTTTAGGGTTTTTTGGTGGTTTAGGTTAGGGTTTTGTTTAGGGTTGTAGGCCCCATGGCTTTCGAAGGCTTCTTGGTGAACGGGTTTTGGGGGTTTAGGGCTTTTGGGGGTTTAGGGGCTTTAAGGGTTTAGGGGTTTAGGTGGTTTGGGGGCTTTAGTTGTTTAGGGTTTAGGGGTTAGGGTTTAGAGGTTTCGGGTTTAGTGGCTTGCGGTTAGGGTTTGAAAAATGGAATGTCGAAATACTGGGCTTCCGGTCTCTGAAGACGATGAAGTTTTACGAAGGTTTGAAGGTCTATGGGGTAAGTGGGACTACTTGGAGGTTCATGGGTAGTTATAAGTGGGATTATAAGTCCCCTAATATGGCTTATAAGTATAGTTACCCTACTTATATCCCCATTTATAACTACCCATGAACCTCCAAGTAGTGGAAGGAGGTTTTGATGAATTTGAGGGTGCGTGGTCAACCACACTGGACAAGCCGGCTACACTGCCTGCTTTGCCGTGGCACCGAATGCTTCGAGGTTCACATGCTGCTTGGAGAGTGCAGATGAAACTGCTAGTAAGTGAAAGCAATAATCATAAACAAGGTCAATACTCGTAACAACAATAATCGTCGTCAACGGCTTTTGCTCTTCCCCCTGCCTGAGGCTTCTTTGGGCAGGCACACGACCGAGATGGGTGAAGGACAGAAGTCTTAAGTTGTGCCATCAGAACAGCGCCCGAAAAAACCTTAAACACCCCCCAAAAAAACCCTTGAAAACCGAAAACCATGAAATCCTAAATCCCTGCAGGACTCCGATTTCTGTTCAAGCAAGCATCGAACATCCTACGGCCCTACGGTCGCGGCGCTTACAGCAGCCGATGCCAGCCTGGTTGGAGGGAGGGCGGAAGGGCCGAACTGACAAGTGCGTCGGGTTTAGGGTTTAGGGTTTAGGGGTGTAGGGTTTAGGGTTTAGGGTTTTAGGGTTTAGGGTTTAGGGTTCAGGGTTTAGGGGTTTAGAATGCAGAGCCAATCGGCCGGGAGCCGAGAGCCCGACCAGGAGAGTTGCGTCTTCCTCTTGTCCCAAAGCCGTGAAGAAAGAAACCCAAAGCCCCAGGGGCCCTAGACCCTAAAGGGGGGTTCAGGGTTTAGGGGTTTATAGGGGTTTATAGGGGTTTATAGGGGTTTATAGGAGTTTTAGGGGTTTTAGTGGTTTAGGGGTTTAGCAGTTAGGGTGTAGGCCTGCTCCCAAACACCTTGTGGTGTTCCATCCGGGCACCGACGACTTGATAGCCATAGCTTCAGCCCCCTCGGCCTTTAGGGGCTTGTGGGGACGTAGACCGGTGCCTAGCCCAGTAATCCATCTTATTCCGAATACTGACTCCCTTCGATGACCTACGACTGCGCAGTAGCTAAGAGCCTGGGTCTGGGCACTGCTGGGGGAACTTCAACTCAATCGCAACTGATTGCTGACTACGCCTTGAAAACCGGCAGCCTCGTCTCCACGGAAGGAAGGTCGGCGCACATGAGCGAGTCAACCTCGTTGCAACGGTTTGCAGGTTTAGGGACGAGAGTTTCGGACTTAAGGGCTTAGGGGTTTAGGGGTTTAGTGTGTAGGGCTGTAAGGGGCTTCCGGGGTTCAGGGGGTTTAGGCTTGCTTCAGGTTTAGGGCTTTTGGCGTGGTAGAGGCTCAAAAGTTTAGGAGTAGCCTCTGGAGCCAGTCTACACGCAGTGATCTTGTGCACCTCAACTGGGGGCTTCGAGATGGTCGACCCTGAGCCCTAAACCCAATACCCTAACCCCCTAAGCCCTAAACCCCTAAGCCCTAAACCCCTAAGCTCTAAACTCCTAAGCCCTAAACCCTAAACCCTAAACCCCTAAGCCCTAAACCCCAAACCCCAAACCCCTAAGCCCTAAACCCCAAACCCCAAAGCCCTAAACCCAGAACCCTAAACCCCGAAGCCCTAAACCCACGAGGGACGGGGCTGGGGGACTCCTGGCATGTTGAAGTCGAGAGCCATCGGGCAAAGCTTCGAAGCTCGAAGCTGAACGGCTCCCAGAGCTCTACAGGTAAGGCTTTAGGAGTGTAGGGCTTAGTGTCTCTAGGGTTTAGGAGTGTAGGGCTTGGTGTCTATAGGGTTTAGGGTTGAGGATAAAACTCCTGAGCCCTAAACCCGGGCCGGCCTGCGCAAACCCTGAACACCAAACCGCATGAAAGCCCGCAAGGCCCCGCCTCCGACCCGAACGCGACTCTGCCAGAGGTCCTTCATCCATCTGCAAAGCCTTGGCACCCAAACCTCCGGAAACCGAAACAATGGCCAAATGCCCCGAAACACCTGCAAAGTCATCCTGCAAGCATACATACACCCACCCACCCACCCACCCACCCACCCACCGACCGACCGACCGACCTACCTGCCTGCCTACCTACATACATTCATACATACATACATACATACATACATATATATATATATATACATAAATATATATATATATACATATACATAGATATATGCACACACACACACGCACATACATACATAGATGCATACAGACAGCCAGACAGACAAACAGACAGACAGACAGACAGCTCCAAAGCAAGAGAAGACAGGTAGCTGAGGAACCCAGCCGGGAGAGCTCTGGATCTGCCTCCTCCGATCCTGACTGGATATACGGGTTTATAACGGTGTTTCGGGGTTGCTATGGCTGCAAGCTCTACGTATGTTCAGGCGAGGCTGCACGGGTTTGGTTAAACGACTTTGTTTGGAAAGGGCTCTGAGGGTCGAAGGTTTGGGGGCTCCGAGTTTCGGACGGGTGGGGAAATCATGAAATAGCTTCCTTTACAGTAGACCATATTCAAACGAATGAACAAAAACCATAACTTGTAAAAGGGGACAGCGTTTTGGGATTCTGCATAGAGCGGCACAGCAAGAATTGAAGCTAAGGGACGACTCGCTAAGGACTGTGGAGTCTCTAATAAGTCTAAGTACCTCCGCACCCAAATTGCCCTTACAGAGAGCCAATCTACACGCTGTGATCTTGTGCATCCTAAACCCTGAACCCCCTAAACCCCTAAACCCCTAAACCCCAAACCCTAAACCGCTAAAAACCCCAAACCCTAAACCGCTAAACCCCTAACCCTAAACCCCCAAACCCTACTAAACCCCTAACCCTAGAAACCCCTAAACCCAAAACCCTTAAACCCTAAACCTTCCGAGTCTTCAAGCAGAGGGGCTTTGGCTCGGGGATTCCTGGCATTGCAGCGCTCTCGGGGGAACCCCCGCTTATGCCTAACCCTGCGTGCAGTTCCATATAGGCCATGGCCATAACACTAGCTATATTGTAGTGCAAAAATAACAATGGTGATAGCAATAGTAGTAACAATAATAATAAGGACAATAATAACAACAATAGGCAAAAGAAGAAGAATGATAATTTTTGGTAATAATGATAGCAATATTAATGTTAATAACAATGACAACAATAGTTAAAAAAAGATACATATATATATATATGTATATATATATAACAATAATGATCGATAAAATAGCAATTAGCAATCATACCAACAGTGAATAGGTAGTAATAGGTATGATGGCAATTGCCATGGCGCTAACAACACCGTAATACGAACACGTAAAATAGCAATCATCGTACTTATCGCAGTAATATCGGTTTTCTACATCCACCGAGCCGCAACGGTGGCCCGCCCCGGCCTGGTACGCAGGGAGCGGGTGGTCATGGAATTTCTGCCCCCGTATAGGGTTTATAGGGTTTGGGTTTTAGGCTTTGGGGTTTTCCCTCCCTGACCTTGAGGAGAAGCTTCAAAGCCTCTTCATGGTGGTTGAGGGCGGCTATGTCGGCCGCTGTATACCCGTCCGGGGTCTTGGCGTTGAGGTTCACGCCGGCCTGAGCACGGCGCTAGGCTCGGGGGCACCTGAGCCCGAAGCCGTTCTAGACCCTAAACCCTCTGGGCCTGGATGAGGACGCGCAGCGCGTCAACTTCGCCGCGTTCGGCGAGCACATGGGCCGGGGTTCGTCCACGTCGGTTAGCCTTCTCCAGGTCCGCTCCCGCCTCGCAGCCGCGAAGGAATCGCCAGAACCCTCGTCTTTGTACTTTCAGAGTACTAACGGTATAGTACCGCCAACAACCCACTCCCAACCATCTTCCACGCGGCAGAGAAGGAACGGTGCGGGAGATGAGAGGTCGAGAAGCGAACACTTTCCGGAGGCCTTGAGCAGGATGAGCAGCTTCTCCGCCATATCGTCAAGCCCGTCAGCGACCAGAATGGCCGGGGTGTTTCCGCCGTTGTCGGTTACATTGAGGTCGACCCCGGCCTCTCAGAAACTCTCAGACTCAGACATTCTCGGCGAAATAAGGGGACTCTCCCAGACAATCCTCGACTCCCCTTCGAGCCGAGCTTTTAGGATGATTCTAGGAATCCGCAGCCCTGGCCTCGACCAGTGCCTCCAACATTTCCGCTGTCCCGTCCTCGAGTGCCATCAGGACCGGCGTGCTGCCCCACTTATCGGTCGCACTCAAGTTGGCGCCTGCCTCACAGGGAAGAGAAAGTCTACGGAGGCGCCAAAAAAGCGCCGGAAAGCTCCAAAGAGAGGGGCCTCGTGGAGGAACTTCAGCGCCGCCGTCTGCCCGCGCAAGGCGGCCAAGTGCGCCGCTGTCCATCCGCCCTCAGAGTCCACTTCGGCATTCAAGTCAGACCCGGCCTCGGCACGCTCGCAGCCCTTCCGGAAGACATCACCACTTCTCTACTCTGAGAGCAACCTTAAATTACAGCTGGGCCTGACGGTGCGCTGCGAGGGCCGCCACGTCGCCTTGCTCGGCAGCCTCCTTCAAGGAAATCGCTGGAGGCTGCCCCCTTGTAGTGGTCGTAGCCGCCTCCGCTTCCTCATCCTGCTCATGATGCTTTCGGTTCCAGGCCTCTGACTTTTTTACGATGAAAACAAAGCGCATCAGAACGCGCATCAGAACGGGTGTCCCTGAAAACGTCCGCGGCAAAAACAACTGTCGCTTCAATTCAGGGAGCCGCCAAGACCAGAACGAGGGATTTGGAGCAGCTTCCAAGTTCACATGCTTCATGGATCCTAGGAATCTCGGCCTTGCACCCTCACTTAGGCAGACTCGTATAGGAGGGCAATTCAGCGCCTCCCGCAAGCTCTGGAAGAGATTTCTCGCTCTCGCGAGCTGCTCCGCCGTGGAAGACAGCGACTTTTCGATCTCGGCGATTCGATCCTTTCGCCCGGCCTGGTCAGGCTCTGAGCCCTTTTCCCGCTTCAGCTTACAAGGTGAGGCGCTTGCTCAGTGCGTCGCCAAGTACCCGGGCGGAGACACCTTGGTAAGGTCTGCTAGAGCGGTTCGAGGAAGGTAGTTCGTTCGGCCAGATCTTAGCGTCCTGTCCGCCCCAGAGAGAGACATGCCGAAAGCATCCACTTGTCACTACCCATGAACCTCCAAGTAGCTGGATCACGTCGCGGAAGCAAAGAGTGTCAGAACGACTCCAGCTCTCCCCCCCCGGTCTGTTGAGCATCGCATTTCCGGGGACCCGGCCCTGCTGGCATCCGCAAAGGCCAGTGCAGCCAGCAGAACCAGCCCAGCCACCTAGAAGTTTAGGGTTTTGGGCTTTGGGGGGTTTAGGGCTCTTGGTTTGGGGGTTAGGTTGGATATGTGCCCCCACTCAGTAACAGTTGAGTAACGTATTCATGTTTATGGATATAGAAGGCCCATGATAGTAGCCCTTTTGTAGACTGCTACTGTATGGGGGGGCAGTACCCAAAATCTAGGAGTTTTTAGGGTCCAAGAGGAGCCAAACTAACGTTAATGGGGTTTGGTTTGGGGCCGATTCTACGAAAAAATGGAGCCTAAGGAACGGTCCTTGCCAACGTTTGTTGCGTTTGAGGGGCGAGGCGTACAAGGCGGGGGGTTCGCGATGTTCGAGATGCTTGTTAGCTTCGCCATGGGCTTGCAGTGGCAGTTCCTCCTCCCAATCTGCTCAACAGCAGCTAAGACATCTTGAACCCGAGGCCTGCCCACTCCAACCATGCTTTTCAAGAGCGCAGAAGCAAAAAAAACAAAGCCCCAGGAGGCCAGGTTCAAAAGAAGGCGAGAGAAATCCCTGAAACCCTGCACCCACTGGCACTGCAGACCTACTTCAGGGCTTCAGAAGTTGCTGCGACGGATCAATGTCCCGGAAAGACAGCCTCAGCCCGGGGCACGCATTGCGCAGGTACAGCAAAGAGTTGTCAGACTACTGCACGATTAGAGAGTGGTAGCCCAGAGCTGCGGCGAAGCCATGCAACCACGGTTTAGGGTTTAGGGGTCTAGGGTTTAGGGTTTACAGTAGGGTCTAGGGTTTAGGAGTTAGGGTTTAGAGCTCAGGGGTGTAGGGTTTGTTGGGGGGTTTAGGGTTTCGGGCCTTTGGCAGGGGGCCTCCAACAACAACAAGGCACAGGGTTTAGGGCTTAAAGGGTACTTGTTTCGGGGTTTAGGACCCTAAACCCTAAACCCTAAACCCTGAACCCTACTGTAAACCCTAAACCCTATTGTAAACCCTAAAGCCTAATAAAGGGTTTAGGGCTTAGGGCTTCCCGAAAGGCTGGATCTCAAGTGCCCCGCGAGGCGTTGCTCCGAGACGCTGAGCTTCGAGGAGGGTTTAGGACTTCAGGGCTTTAAGGCTTTTAGGCTTTAGGGTGAAGGGTTTAGTAATTTAGGTTTTAGGGTTTATAGGGGCGTAGGAGTTTAAGAGTTTAGGGTTTAGGGCTTTGGGCGTTTATAAGGCTTAAGGGCTTTTCTCAGTGGCTTTGGGCTTTCATAGATTTAGGGCTTGGGCTTGGGGTTCTTAATCGGGTTTAGGGGCTTAGGGTTTTGGGGTTTAGGCTTTCATCATGCTCCCCCTGGATTCCCTGGGAACGGAGCTGACGCCGGCACCCAAGCGCGAAACCGTAGACTTCGGGCCTTTTTCGCGCCGAGCTCGGGAATCTTGCCCCTAAACCGCAGCAGCGGCGAGCAGCGGCAGCCTGGTGGGAGGCAGCGCGGAAGAAGGCCCACACCGCGACGCAGGGGCTGGGTGGGCATTTGGGGTCAGAGTTATCGGGATGTTTGGGGTTTGAGGTTCTTCAGCACGGGAGCTGCTACACCCCTTGTATATTATAGCAGGATTTGCATTTTGGGATCTTGAAGGTTTTCCCTCTAGGGCTTTGAGGTTGGCCTTTTGTTCGCGACCAGTGCTGCAGAAGCGTACCTCCGGTACCGACCTGCCTCAGCTTCTCCAGGCCTTTCGTCAGGCCCGAGCCAGGTCACATCGTCTGCTTTACTCTTTCAGGGGTACGACGCCCTAAAGCTTACAAAACCCTATAAGCCTTGAACCCTAAACACGAAACCCTAAACCTCAAACCCTATCAACCCTAAACCCTCTTTAGGGACACGACGGGTGCAATGCTCCTTCGGAGCACGGGCCCATTCCGCCCATTCCGGTGAAACTTGAAGGCCCGAGAAAGGCCCGTAGCGGACGCGCTTGGCGGCCACAGTCGGCCCTGCGGCGCTACTTCGGAGGGGCACGACGCAGAGCAAAGTAGGGCAACAAGTGCGACTGGGTGTCGGAAGCACTTGGGCATGAGTTCTGTGTCGTGGCCCCACTTCGTAGCAGTGATCTGTACTATAATGTGATGTCGAGAAAACGGAAAAAGTGACAGCGAAGAAGGAAAATCAGAGATGCCAGGGCTATACCCTTTGGTATGCCAGCAGGTACTCTGGATATGCGCGGTTGGCACTGAAGGAGATGACTTCTCGAAAGCGCTCCTTGGACGAAACGTCACAGCGTCAATGAAACTATGGGGGGAAAGAGGCGCTCGGACGACAGTGACTCCTTGAGGATAGTTAAATGACAGCGCTGACAAAGCTGCTGGTGATAGCAGTGGTAGCGGCAATGCTAGCAGTCGCAGTCGCAGCGGCAGCTAAATTTGAAGCCGCAACGCCGTCATCGTTGTCGCCGCAGTAGTGACAAGAGTAGCAGCATGCAGAGATAGCAGCAACCGTAGCAGGACAATCCGAAACCCCAAACCCTTGCCGGGCCAGGATGCGATTCTGTGCTTGGCCTCCTTCCCCGTTTGCACCAGCAAGGTGTGGTAGGGAATTCGAGGGTCTGATCCGGGCACAGCCGAAAGCTCCTGCGTTTTGGATCGAGGCTGCTCCCAAACACAACGGAACCCGATTCTGGGTCCTTGTTAAGGGATTTAATATGAGCTGCTTTATAAAAGGTAACCGTGCTATTTTCTATAGATCCATTGTAAGCTATGAGCTAGTATGGCAACCATATTTATTTGCCATGGATCCCTATTAAGCCCTATCAGGGACCTTAGTCAGGAACCCCTCAGCAACCCCCAAACCTCTGGACAGCGCTGTAAGGATCCTACTAGCCCTGCAAAGCACCCACAACCTTATCAAACCCTTACGCATCACCGCTTGAAAAACCCTAAACCCTCAACCCTAAACCCTAAACCCTAAACTTTACCAACAGGCTTTTGGGTTTCGAACTCTGCCGGGTCACCCGGCGATCTTCGTTGACGAAGACTTGGAAGTCGCTGTCGTGGTCGCGGAGCCTGGGCTCTTCTGCAGGAACTTACCGGAAGGGGGCTTAGGGTTTAGGGTTTAGGGTTCAGGGTTGGTTAATAGGGATTTCAGGGGTTCTGTAGATTTTGACCTAGGTTTCTTTGGGAGCTTGGGGTTTTCGGGGGTTTATGTAAGGGACTTACGAGTATTTTGTAAGGTTGCAGAAAGCATGAAATCTACTATTCATCCCCATGCCATTGCAACTAAACAACCAAAAGCTCAAGTGCTTTAAGAAGAGCCCAGGAGCTTGTCCTTGAAGCCGCGGCTCAGGAAGCATGCGCCACAAGTTACCCGAACCACGAAGCAGTAGAAGATGTGATCTCCTCCGGGCCGAAGCTCTAGAAGCGTAAAGTTGGTAATAGTATTCCTTAGGGCTCCTCATTATTATTCTACTATCAAGGATACCCAAACCCCTATTCTAATTATTACGGCCCCTGTAGAGTAGCACAAGGATCTTGATGATTGGAACGGAGTTCCATGTATAAGAGTCTAAGGGATCTACAGGGCTTTCTAGGAGCGTGTACGGGCTTTGGTAGAGGGGCCTGTGTCGAGGTGCCGTGAAGGGACGGGTTCTGCAGGGGCACTGGAGGGTTCAGGGTTGGGGAGCTGTTACCTTACTTAGAGTTCTTGATAACAAGAGGTTTATGGCTTAGGACTTCGGGGTCCTGTATTAGAGTCCCCTAGTGTCTGAAACCGTTTCCGAGGCGTCAGGTCCGAGCAATGGGAAGGAAGAGAAGGATCAGGCCGTCCAGGTGCATGAGAACATTATGCAAGCAATCTAGACGGCGGGGTGGGGAGAGGGAAGGTGGGGCAGATGGGGCCAGGCAGTGGGTTTGTCATAGTTCAAGCGTGAAGCAAGCCGGCCCCCACCCTAAACCCTTCACCCCAAACCCCTAAACCCTGAACCCCTAGACCCTCCTCCCCCTATATAAACCACTGCTCGTCGAAACCCCGCTCGGTGGTCCTGGATGCTGATGGCCACCCGCACGGTAGAGCCGCGAGTGCAAGCGCTCCAGCCCAGGTGCCTCGTGACCCGGATCCTCCCGAGTGTATTGGTCGATCTTCTCCTGGGCTGTGTGAAGGGGTCTGGATGCGAAGTAACTTTGCGCCACTTTAAGACCCCCTCTGTTTTTTCGTAATCAGCCATCCGCAACTGACCAGCCCTGCTGTGCCCTTCTTGGAGGTGCATGGGTAGTTGTAAGTGGGGTTATAAGTGCCCTAATATGGCTTATAAGTATAGTTTTCCCCTACTTATAACCCCCACTGATACACACAACCCCTGAACCTCCAAGTATACACCCTAAACCCTAAGAACCGGCCTGAGGGCTCCTGCTTGCGGATGCCAACTACTTGGGTAGTTCTTTAGGTCCCCAATATAGTACGGCACCCTTAGAAACAGGACCCTAAAAGGGGACCCTAACTTACAAAACTACCCAGTTGTGATCAGGCAAAGTGTCCGGGTCTTCGGCAAAGTAGGCTCCGGCACCAAACCTGGCAAAATACATATCTCGGGGCGTCTTGAGTCAACGGTGCGGGGCCGTCGAGATTGAATCGAATCGTCTGCGACTGGCTGCGGAAAAGTTAGACAAAGGGCTGGAGGGGCTTCTGTCTTTGCAGCTAGGCTTTCAGGGATTTCCAGCGCTAACTTGGGTTCGGGTTTTTCGGGATTCTACTTGCGGCCCAGGGGCATTCCTCTCAAACTTGCGAGCTTGTCATTGAAGCCCTGATGGAGAATGTCCAGAAGCACCTGTGGCTTCGATCCTTTGAAGCCCTAAACCCTAAATGGTGTGTAGGGTTTATGGTTTAGAGAAGCACCCCCGGTTGCTTTCCACGAAGCCCTGAACCCTGGCAAGCAGCACCTCTGGCTTCGTGCCATGGAGCAAGTATCTCTCGCCTGGGCGACAGTCTCAAAACCAGGGGTCCGGTTTAGGGCTTAGGGCTCAGGGTTTAGAGTCTAGGGTAGGGTTTAGGGTGTTCCGACTACGTGCGAGAAGTCATGACCAGGATGAGCCTGTGTGTTGGGGCCTCGATAAAGAGAAGCAACTTAAGCCTAGAACTAGTAACTAGGGTTTTGGTGTTTAGGGCTTAGGGCTCAGCATATCGAGTCTAGGGTTCACCGGCCAAGGTCTACCGTAGTCGCGGGCATTCGGCTTCGAGATCTGCTGGAACCTACCTGTTGGCAGGGTTCTTATATAAGCCTCAGTGTAGAAAGTATGGCAGGTTCGGCAAGGTCAAGCCCTAAAACTAGGAATCAGGGGCCTGCAAAGACGGCTTCAATAATAAAGATGGTGGCTCCCTCCGTGTACGTAAATAAACCGGTTTGGGGTTTAGTTCAGGGCTCAGGGGACAGACGCTGAACCCTTCGCCTTGAACACCGCAAAA